CCGTGGCTACAGACTGCATCTATTCTCAGGCCAATTCGTTTGAACACATGACCAAACCTGTAGCAGGCTGTCAGTAGGAGCTGTCAGTTCAATTACATCAACACAGATCTTTGAACCTTTAGGGTCTAAATGTGTTCCTAAACAGTTTGACCTTTCTGACAGGGAGGTCGTGGGTCTTGTATCTGTTTTTAACCAGAGTGTGACCAGATGAGGTCATGCAAGTCAGAAAACTTTATTTATAGAGCATTTTTAGAAACAGTGGTTGAAAGTGCTTGACAGAAGGGAGAAAGGAAACAAGGATGCTGTAGCTTCTCCTGATGAGGTGTACTGAAGTGCATTCAAGTGTGTATGTATGATCGCTGTCAACACATCCCACATGATGACTTTTTCCCATCAGCCATGTTTCCATGATGCATTTTTCTGTTCATGGAAACTGCAAAATTTATTAAATTGTTTTTAAGCTTGCTTGAGGTGGTTTTTGACTATTTGAAGAGGAGTTCATGTGCTTCACTGGAGCTGGAAACACCTTTTTGGAATCAGCTCTGATGTAGCGAACGTTTAGTTCACATGACTGATCAGCTGTTTCCACATCACTGTCTTCCAACACCATAAACATGGCCAATAATTATTACAGCTCTACCAGGTGAAAACAATTCCTGAGGACTTCTTTCCCCTTTTCTCTCACAAGATGGTCAAAGTTTGCCTCTTTTTTAAAAAAAAGAAAAGGTGGCACAGCTGTTTTTGTTTCAGCTTCTTCGACTCTGTTTATTACAGTCGTCTATTCCTTTACTGGCATCTTGACATTGTGCAGTTTAGTTTTTTCACTCCAAAGCAGTTAATGGTAAATTCAGCATTGTGCTGTACAGATACATGTGAATCATTCAGTAACACTTTATTGTTTAGTTTTTAGTTGTTAATTTAAAAAAAAAAGAAGCATACTTTCTATCACAGTTTTAGCTTTTTTGTTTATTTTTTGTTGTTTTTTTGTATGAAACAAGCTGGTCAACAAATATTTTTGTGGCAGTTTTGGTTGAAAAAAAATGAACACTGGTGTTCATGTAGCTGTGCAATGACCACATGAATGACAAGTACCCTCTGAGCAGCAGGCAGACCAAGACATCATGTTTGGATAAATGTAAAAGGAATGGTGGATGGATGCTCTCCTCAGATGAAGTGACCCATCCTATTCTCTGTCTTCACATTCCTGATTATCTCTGCATTCTCTGAGAAGGCCCCCAGACTGTTTAAACCATCAGCTTGTTTGTCCCAAAGGACTGACGGCTGCTGGACATGAGCCTGGACTGCACGACCACCGTGGTTACACTGTAAGTTTGTGATCCACCAGCAAGCAGGCTCCAAGGATGAGAGTCAGCTGGCAGCTTGTCTAAAGCTAGAGCAAGATACCTACAACTATGAGCCATGCAGTTCTTAAGCATGTTGCTTGCATCAGCTTCCCCAAGTCACTTTTCTTTCTTAATTCATAAAGTGGCAACTAAGCTGGTAATCATGCTCACCAGAGGATGAATTCATCCATAACCTGTCTGCTGCTGTGTTGCACCTACTTTTTCTCCTCCTATCATCTATGTTCTTCACCCCCATGTTACATTTTTATTCTCTATCTAGTTGGCAGGCTGTCCAGTCTCACCCCCCTGCTTCTACATTTTTGCATTCCAGCTAAATGGTGAGCCTCCCTCCCTCGCTTTCACAACCCCATCAAAAAAAAAAAAGATTCCCTCATGTGTGATGAGAGATCCATGCCTGCTCAACAGAAAACAATGCCAGCCTTTCTGTCCTGGCATGAGAGCAAGAGAGGGAGAGGGAGAGACAGAAAGAAATAGAGAGATGGAGAGTTCTTTGTGTGTCCACCGAGAGTTTCTGGATTTGAGAGAAAGAAAAGCTGCTGTTGTCCCCCCACAGTCGGATAGAAATGGGCTTTGATGTGGTGGGAGCAAACACCCACACCGAGAGCATATGGGTGTTTAATTCTAGTGGAGAAAATTACGTTTAACAGCAAAAGAAGGAATCCTTGTCAAACTAGACGGATAGAAGGACAATAAAGTAGAAAACCACCACAGTGCCACCCCTAACGCCAATATCATCGCATTGCAGCGAATCAACAGGGATTAAGAAGTTGTCAGAATGTTTCCAGCAACATTCAGGTATTAGTTTAAAATCATGTGTTGACAGGAACCACTAAAACCTGATTCCTCACCTGAAGAGGTGAAACTGCTCGTAGAACTTCACCACACTGGTGAGATCTGGACTGAGGACGCTGATGACTTTCAAGATGGACAGCTGTAGAGGAAAGAAGAAGAAATAATGTCAGCTAAATGAGCAAAAATCAGCAGGTCATGGTTCATGTTCTGCTGGAGCCATCAAAAACCTGAACATGAAAATAGAATCAAAAGGAGTCCAAAGATCTTCCTCTTTCTCAGTGTCCTGGATGAAATCAATGTCCTTCCTG